GCTACAAGATTGCACCGAATCGACACGAGCACCGTGACCCCGAGTTTCCTGTACCTTGGGAGCCCAATTTCCATACAGTATTAAATTATGTTATGAAAAAATATGCTTGATTGACACCGAAGATTTCCTGCCTTATAACACCGTTTTAAAATGCCCACTGCTCAGCATTGGGCAGCTTGCTTCGGCCATGCCGCACACACAAACTGTGCGCTTGTATTCCCAGAAAGGCGGTTTCCAACAGCAGCATCAGCATGGCGAACTTTTCCGTGGGGAGGGATGGAGGCGAGAGGGCGGAGCTGCATCCGCAAAATCATCACACTGTGGCGGCTGTGGGCAGCAGCGGTGGCGGCAGCCGCTGCCCAAACGCATCATCATACCAGTCATGAATCTGCGCATCCCCGCCCTGAGGCCTAAGACGATGTTGTGTTCCAACATGATGCCAATCTATGTTCCACAGGAGCGAAGCTGCAGGAGCTGTCCCCTTGATTTGTTGACAGGGGTTTCGTATGGTTTCGTGTAGGTTGCGGGGCAAGTCCACGTGCTGCCCGTCTATTCTCAAAGCGCTGGCACAGAGGTAGCAAAATCTTGGATCAGATTTTGGCTGCCGCTGCCGCTGCGGCTGCTGCGGCTGCTGCTGCTGCTGCTGCTGCTGTGGTGCTCTTGCAGCCCCTGCTACAAACCGCCCTGAACCAAGCAATGTGCAAACCTAACTCCCATGAGTTCGCACCCTGTTGACCCAAAACTATTCAACTCCAAATCTGAAGCTCTTTCATACATACCACTTCAGAAGGAGGCAGATTTGCTTTGACAATTCTTGTGTCTAGAATGGCAGCCGTCATTGAGTTCCGACCGAAAGCATTCAGGAGCAGATGTGCCAAGAACACATATCATTTTGGCAAGTGAGCAGCAAACAGAGGGTTTCCATGGAATTGCACGACTAATTGCACGGTGACAGAGCTGGGGCCGCCCTGCAACCTCCCCAAGACAGCATGATCAAGCTGTGGCGGGCCTCAACTTCCACATGATCTCTGCATCAGTGATTTGGCCTCCAAGCATCTGTCCTTGCAAGCCCGCACCTTCAGCGAAAAGACTCATGCCACAGAATCTGACATTTGAAGTCTTAAGCTCGAAAGGAAGATAGTCTTTGAACATTTTGGTTGTGGACGTTCAGCATCACCTTCAGCCCGAGATCAGTAGGATTCTGAGGTCTTCAGGTGTACAAGGTGTACGCAGTTACAGGGGAGCGTAGGGTCAATGAGCTGGAGTGTTCTGGAAGCAGATTTACTGAGATCCGTTCCATGACGTTCAGAGAGCTTCCGTGAGCAGCAACCAGGTGCAGGCGGCCTGTATGCGAGCGAGCACATCAGCGTCTCCAACAGCAGCATCCAGATCACGAACTCTTCTTCAACCGGAAATGGAGGCGTGAGTGCAGAGCTG